GATTCTTTTGGTGCAAAATTAAAAATTTTTACATTAACATTAACGAAAAAAATATATCTTTAAACGTATAAGAGAAAATTTTAGAAAGGACTTAATTTTAAATGAGTTCTTGCTAATTGACCAGTTTTACATATTCAGCACGACATATATATATATATTATATATATATATGTCGTGCCGAATAGGCAGAACTTGCGATCTTGGCTTAAATAGCAAAGCTCATTTTGCCATATAGGACAAGTGAAAATTTGTGTATGCAATAATTTCCCCAAAATCATTCTGAACTTAAGGAAAAAAATATATTTCACTGTTTGTTTAGTATTAAATTATTGTAAACAAATCTAAAATATATTTAGTTGGGTTAGGCTAAAAAAATTGTTCTTGTTATAGTAAGGTTAGGTAAGTTTTCTAAGATTCTTTTGGAGCAAAATTAAATTTTTTTACATTAACATTAATGAAAAAAATATATCTTTAAACGTATAAGAGAAAATTTCAGAAAGAACTTAATTTTAAATGAGCTCTTGCTAATTGATCAGTTTTACATATTCGGCACGACATATATATATATATATATATATATATATATATATATATATATATATATATATATATATATATATATATATATATAGGATGGGGTCCACCTCTGGTGTAAATTGTGGGACCCATAGCCTCGGAGAAGTGGATAAAAAGGCTTCAAGGAAGAATATTTGGATTTCTTCCTGAAGCCATTTGAATATTCCACTTCCCCTACCACCCCATCTTTATATATATATATATATATATATATATATATATGTATATATTATATATATAAATATTATATATATATATATATATATATTATATATATATATATATATATATATATATATATATATTATATATATATATTTCAACAAGTCGGCCGTCTCCCACCGAGGCAGGGTGACCCAAAAAAGAAAGAAAATCCCCAAAAAGAAAATACTTTCATCATCATTCAACACTTTCACCACACTCACACATTATCACTGTTTTTGCAGAGGTGCTCAGAATACAACAGTTTAGAAGTATATATGTATAAAAATACACAATATATCCCTCCAAACTGCCAATATCCCAAACCCCTCCTTTAAAGTGCAGGCATTGTACTTCCCATTTCAAGGACTCAAGTCCGACTATATAAAATAACCGGTTTCCCTGAATCCCTTCACTAAATATTACCCTGCTCACACTCCAACAGATCGTCAGGTCCCAAGTATCATTCGTCTCCATTCACTCCTATCTAACACGCTCACGCACGCTTGCTGGAAGTCCAAGCCCGTCGCCCACAAAACCTCCTTTACCCCCTCTCTCCAACCTTTTCGAGGACGACCCCTACCCCTCCTTCCTCCCCCTATAGATTTATATGCTTTCCTTGTCATTCTACTTTGATCCATTCTCTCTAAATGACCAAACCACCTCAACAACCCCTCTTCTGCCCTCTGACTAATGCTTTTATTAACTCCACACCTTCTCCTAATTTCCACACTCCGAATTTTCTGCATAATATTTACACCACACATTGCCCTTAGACAGGACATCTCCACTGCCTCCAACCGTCTCCTCGCTGCTGCATTTACCACCCAAGCTTCACATCCATATAAGCGTGTTGGTTCCACTATACTTTCATACATTCCCTTCTTTGCCTCTATAGATAGCGTTTTTTGACTCCACATATACCTCAACGCACCACTCACCTTTTTTCCCTCATCAATTCTGTGATTAACTTCATCCTTCATAAATCCATCCGCCGACACGTCAACTCCCAAGTATCTGAAAACATTCACTTCTTCCATACTCCTCCCCAATTTGATATCCAATTTTTCTTTATCTAAATCATTTGATACCCTCATCACCTTACTCTTTTCTATGTTCACTTTCAACTTTCTACCTTTACACACATTCTCAAACTCATCCACTAACCTTTGCAATTTTTCCTTAGAATCTCCCATAAGCACAGTATCATCAGCAAAACGCAACTGAGTCAATTCCCATTTTGAATTTGATTCCCCATAATTTAATCCCACCCCTCTCCCGAACACCCTAGCATTTACTTCTTTTACAACCCCGTCTGTAACTATATTTAACAACCATGGTGACATTACACATCCCTGTCTAAGACCTACTTTTACCTGGAAGTATTCTTCCTCTCTTCTACACACCCTAACCTGAGCCTCACTATCCTCATAAAAACTCTTAACAGCATTTAGTAACTTACCATCTATTCCATATACTTGCAACATCTGCCACATTGCTCCTCTATCCACTCTATCATATGCCTTTCCTAAATCCATAAATGCAATAAAAACTTGCCTACCTTTATCTAAATACTGTTCACATATATGCTTCAATGTAAACACTTGATCTGCACATCCCCTACCCACTCTGAAGCCTCCCTGCTCATCCGCAATCCTACATTCTGTCTTACCTCTAATTCTTTCAATTATAACCCTACCGTATACTTTTCCTGGTATACGCAGTAAACTTATTCCTCTATATTTTTTACAATCTCTTTTGTCCCCTTTCCCTTTATATAAAGGGATTATACATGCTCTCCGCCAATCCCTAGGTACCTTCCCTCTTTCATACATTATTAAACAAAAGTACCAACCACTCAACACTATTATCCCCCCTGCTTTTAACATTTCTGTCATGATCCCATCAGTTCCAGCTGCTTTACCCCCTTCATTTTACGTAATGCCTCACATACCTCCACCACATTTACATTCTGCTCTTCTTCACTCCAAAAAGACGGTATACCTCCCTGGCCAGTGCATGAAATTACTGCCCCCCTTTCTTCCTCAAACATTTAAATTTCCCTTTCAAAATATTCTCGCCATCTCCTAATACCTCCTCTCCTATCTACTAACTCCCTACTCTGTTTTTAACTGACAAATCCATACTTTCCCTAGGCTTTCTTAACTTGTTGAACTCCAAAATTTTTTTTATTTTCATTAAAATTTCTTGACAGTGCCTCTCCCACTCTATCATCTGCTCTCCTTTTGCCTCTTCACCACTCTCTTCACCTTTCTTTTACTTCCATATAAATCTGCTCTTTTATAAAAACTTCTGCTTTTAAAAACATCTCATAAAGCTACCTTTTTCTCTTTTATCACACCCCTTTACTTCATCATTCCACCAATTCACTCCTCTTTCCTCCTGCCCCCACCCTCCTATAACCACAAGCTTCTGCCCCACATTCTAATACTGCATTTTTAAAACTATTCCAACCCTCTTCAACCCCTCCCCCCACTAATCATATTTGCACTAACCCACCTTTCTGCCAATAGTCGCTTATATCTCACCCGAACTTCCTCCTCCCTTAGTTTATACACTTTCACCTCCCTCTTACTTGTTGTGGCCACCTTCCTCTTTTCCCATCTACCTCTTACTCTAATTGTAGCTACAACTAAATAATGATCCGATACATCAGTTGCCCCTCTATAAACATGTACATCCTGGAGCCTACCCATCAACCTTTTATCCACCAATACATAATCTAACAAACTACTTTCATTACGTGCTACATCATACCTTGTATATTTATTTATCCTCTTTTTCATAAAATATGTATTACTTATTACCAAATTTCTTTCTACACATAGCTCAATTAAAGGCTCCCCATTTACATTTACCCCTGGCACCCCAAATTTACCTACTACTACCTCCATAACATTTTTACCCACTTTAGCATTGAAATCCCCAACCACCATTACTCTCACACTTGATTCAAAACTCCCCACGCATTCATTCAACATTTCCCAAAATCTCTCTCTCTCCTCTACACTTCTCTCTTCTCCAGGTGCATACACGCTTACTGTAACCCACTTTTCACATCCAATCTTTATTTTACTCCACATAATCCTTGAATTAATACATTTGTAGTCCCTCTTTTCCTGCCATAGCTTATCCTTCAACATTATTGCTACTCCTTCTTTAGCTCTAACTCTATTTGAAACCCCTGACCTAATCCCATTTATTCCTCTCCATTGAAAGTCTCCCACCCCCTTCAGCTTTGTTTCACTTAAAGCCAGGACATCCAGCTTCTTCTCATTCATAACATCCACAATCATCTCTTTCTTATCATTCGCACAACATCCACGCACATTCAGACTTCCCACTTTGACAATTTTCTTCTTCTTCTTATTCTTTTTAGAAATTATTACAGGAAAAGGGGTTATTAGCCCATTGTTCCCGGCGTTTTAGTTGACTTTTACAACACGCATGGCTTACGGAGGAAAGATTCTTATTCCACTTCCCCATGGATATAAAAGGAAAAGTAATAAGACCAAGAACTATTAAGATAAAATCAAAGAAAACTCAGATGAGTGTGTATAAATAAACGTGTAAATGTATGTGTAGTGTGACCTAAGTGTAAGTGGAAGTAGCAAGACGTACCTATAATCTTGCATATTTATGAGACAGACAAAAGACATCAGCAATCCTACCATCATGTAAAACAATTACAGGCTTTCGTTTTACACTCACTTGGCAGGACGGTAGTACCTCCCTGGGTGGTTGCTGTCTGCCAACCTACTACCTATAAATATATATTTATATATATGCCATAACGAATCGCCTAACCTGTAGAAGTTATACAATGCCTGGGTTACGGGAGATAGATACATTTAATCCGTAAAAGGGAAGGTTGCTGCAGATCTTGCTTTGCATCGAGAGTCCTTCAAGACATTTTAGATCTCTCTCTCCGGTATTTAGATTGACATTACAGATCCTTCGGGAGCCCGAGATACTGTAGGTCTTAAATATCTGACAGGTCTCTCAAATCTCTGTCAGGTCTCTCAAATATCTGGCAGGTCTCTCAAATGCTTTCATAACGTACTGCAACTACAGACTGTACCACAATGGTCTCTCACGTACCTCTAGAACCCATAGGTACCTGTGCAGTTTGAGTTGCTCTATTGCAAACCATCTTTCGCAGGATTCAATATTTTAAATCTCTCATATATTGTGTGTTTCAGATCACCGCAGAGGACAGACGTGTCAAGGAATGGGATTTCGGCGTGGCTGCCTGTAGTACCTGGAGAACCAGTGTCTTATTACAGAATATCTTTCAACCCAGGCATGTCCTCCACACCCTTCAGAAGCAAGGTTAGAGTAAACACTTCTTGTTTGTCTTTGTTAGACATGAGTGAAGACTTGAGTGCTGATAAATCATTGCTATATTCACTCATCAAGAACTGTAAATCCCTGAACTCTAGAACTAACATTTCTAATCTTATATTCCTTTAAGCATAAGGAAAGGTAGTAGGTAGCTTCTCTTAAAAATTAATTTAGCTAGAGAGTGTTTACTACTGTAATAATATTATGGAAAATATATGAAGGAAATAAATTCTGTAATCCTTCGTAATAGCATTTCCAGTTTACAGTTGGTTACAGTCCAGCGAGATGTTAACACAGCCAGCAGTACATAGTGAACAATATATATTCAACTGAAAATAGTGAATTAAATAAGAGAGGTGAGGCTGAGGAAAGAGAAAAATATTGGAAGTATTATATACGTGTGAGCCGTGTAAAACCTTATAATTCTTTCAATGCAGAGTTTTAAATTAAATATTCGGATGGATCCCAGCAATTTTAATTGAAATTACAATAAATCTTTTTTTACTTAATCACGCCTCATTTGCCAAAATTAGCATAATCTACTTAGATTTAAACCACATCAATCAGTGGTTTAAATATAAATGAGAAAACCTAATTATATCTCATTTTTGTATAAAAACTATATGGAATTTATAGAAATACATAGTATTTTTTCAGTGTCCATGGATAATCATTGACTTGATAAACAAATTAAATACGTTCTTACTTACGACAGAAACAAAGTAAAAAATAAGTAACTTTAAGTAACTATAAGAGCAAATAATCTAAATACACTACAATGAAGGATTGATGAAGGAGATACTGACATGAACCATCATACTGACATGAACCATCATACTGACATGAACCATCATACTGACATGAACCATCATACTGACATGAACCATCATACTGACATGAACCATCATACTGACATGAACTATCATACTGACATGAACCATCATACTGACATGACCCATCATACTGACATGAACGATCATACTGACATGAACCATCATACTGACATGAACTATCATACTGACATGAACCATCATACTGACATGAACCATCATACTGACATGAACCATCATACTGACATGAACCATCATACTGACATGAACGATCATACTGACATGAACCATCATACTGACATGAACTATCATACTGACATGAACCAACATACTGACATGAACCATCATACTGACATGAACCATCATACTGACATGAACCATCATACTGACATGAACCATCATACTGACATGAACCATCATACTGACATGAACCATCATGCTGGCATGAACCATCATACTGACATGTACCATCATACTGACATGAACGATCATACTGACATGAACCATCATACTGACATGAACCATCATACTGACATGAACCATCATACTGACATGAACCAACATACTGACATGAACCATCATACTGACATGAACCATCATGCTGACCTGAACCATCATACTAACATGAACCATCATACTGACATGAACCATCATACTGACATGAACCATCATACTGACATGAACCATCATACTGACATGAACCAACATACTGACATGAACCATCATACTGACATGTACCATCATACTGACATGTACCATCATACTGACATGAACGATCATACTGACATGAACCATCATACTGACATGAACCATCATACTGACATGAACCATCATACTGGCATGTCCCATCATATTGACATGAACCATCATACTGACATGAACCATCATACTGACATGAACCATCATACTGACATGAACCATCATACTGACATGAACCATCATACTGACATGAACCAACATATTGACATGAACCATCATACTGACATGAACCAACATATTGACATGAACCATCATACTGACATGAACCAACATATTGACATGAACCATCATACTGACATGAACCAACATATTGACATGAACCATCATACTGACATGAACCATCATACTGACATGAACCAACATATTGACATGAACCATCATACTGACATGAACCATCATACTGACATGAACCATCATACTGACATGAACCATCATACTGACATGAACCATCATACTGACATGAACCATCATACTGACATGAACCATCATACTGACATGAACCAACATACTGACATGAACGATCATACTGACATGAACCATCATACTGACATGAACCATCATACTGACATGAACCATCATACTGACATGAACCATCATACTGACATGAACCATCATACTGACATGAACCATCATACTGTCATGAACCATCATACTGACATGAACCAACATACTGACATGAACCATCATACTGACATGAACCATCATACTGACATGAACCATCATACTGGCATGAACCATCATACTGACATGAACCATCATACTGACATGATTTATCATACTGACATGAACCATCATACTGACATGAACCATCATACTGACATGAACCATCATACTGACACGAACCATCATACTGACATGAACCATCATACTGACATGAACCATCATACTGACATGAACCATCATACTGACATGAACCATCACACTGACATGAACCATCATACTGACATGAACCATCATACTGACACGAACCATCATACTGACATGAACCATCATACTGACATGAACCATCATACTGACACGAACCATCATACTGACATGAACCATCATACTGACCTGAAACATCATACTGACCTGAACCATCATACTGACACGAACCATCATACTGACATGAACCATCATACTGACATGAACCATCATACTGACATGAACCATCATACTGACATGAACCATCATACTGACATGAACCATCATACTGACATGAACCATCATACTGACATGAACCATCATACTGACATGAACCATCATAATGACATGAACCATCATACTGACATGAACCATCATACTGACATGAACCATCATACTTACGTGAACCAACATACTGACATGAACCATCATACTGAAATGAACCATCATACTGACCTGAACCATCATACTGACATGAACCATCATACTGACATGAACCATCATACTGACATGAACCATCATACTGACATGAACCAACATACTGACATGAACTGTCATACTGACATGAACCATCATACTGACATGAACCATCATACTGACATGAACCATCATACTGACATGAATCATCATACTGACATGAACCATCATACTGACATGAACCATCATACTGACATGACCCATCATATTGACATGAACCATCATACTGACATGAACCATCATACTGACATGAACCAACATACTGACATGAACCATCATACTGACATGAACCATCATTCTGACATGAACCATCTTACTGACATGAACCATCATACTGACATGAACCATCATGCTGACATGAACCATCATACTGACATGAACCAACATACTGACATGAACCATCATACTGACATGAACCATCATGCTGACATGAACCATCATACTGACATGAACCATCATACTGACATGAACCATCATACTGACATGAACCATCATACTGACATAAACCATCATACTGACATGAACCATCATACTGACATGAACCATCATACTGACATGAACCATCATACTGACATGAACCATCATACTGGCACGAACCATCATACTGACATGAACCATCATACTGACATGAACCATCATACTGACATGAACCATCATACTGACATGAACCAACATACTGACATGAACTATCATACTGACATGAACCATCATACTGACATGACCCATCATATTGACATGAACCATCATACTGACATGAACCATCATACTGACATGAACCATCATACTGACATGAATCATCATACTGACATGAACCATCATACTGACATGAACCATCATACTGACATGACCCATCATATTGACATGAACCATCATACTGACATGAACCATCATACTGACATGAACCATCATACTGACATGAACCATCATTCTGACATGAACCATCATACTGACATGAACCATCATACTGACATGAACCATCATGCTGACATGAACCATCATACTGACATGAACCAACATACTGACATGAACCATCATACTGACATGAACCATCATGCTGACATGAACCATCATACTGACATGAACCATCATACTGACATGAACCATCATACAGACATGAACCATCATACTGACATGAACCATCATACTGGCACGAACCATCATACTGACATGAACCATCATACTGACATGAACCATCATACTGACATGAACCATCATACTGACATGAACCAACATACTGACATGAACCATCATACTGACATGAACCATCATACTGACCTGAACCATCATACTAACATGAACCATCATACTGACATGAACCATCATACTGACATGAACCATCATACTGACATGAACCAACATACTGACATGAACTGTCATACTGACATGAACCATCATTTATTTATTTATTTATTTATTTATTATAAATTTGTGCACACATACAGAGGTACAAAAAAATACAGATAAGAGCAGTATGCCAAAGCCACTTATACTATGCATAGCATTACGGGCTGGCTTAAAATTAACTTAAGATTAATTAAGCAATGATGAAGTCAGTGATAAAACATTAATGTAAACAGATTACTATAAAGCACAAGTGAGTATTACAAAGACAGGTCATATGAAGGATTCTGTTAGGTAGTGTATTTAAAAAATAATAAAGTTAGATTGGGTTTTGGTTTAACATTATGTGATATTTGTGAGAAACATTAAGTATTCAATTTTTAAGGGTTCAGTTATTCGTTTTTTTTGGGTTTTTGGGTGAGTAATGTCTTTGAGTGAACTTGAATTTATAAAAGGTAGGTTTCTTTTATATTTACAGGTAATGAATTCCAGTTTTGGGGCCCTTTTTTGTGCTTTGAGTTTTTGATAGTTGAGTGAACCGGGAACATCAAAGAGTGATCTGTGCCTTGTGTTTGGTCATTGTTCGTTGGGTTGAAAGGGGAGGTTTGAGGGGGGGTTTAAATTATCAGGTTAAAGTTTTTTATGTATGTATAGGTGCAGTAAAAAGTAGGATGTTTT